GCGCACGACGACGCTCGTTTAAAACGTAACATACGCAACATCATGTTCGCTTGATAGACGAGACAAAACGAAATCACAAAACGGCGATACTCACACCAAGCTGGTGTATACTCACACCGAGTATATTAACAGTGACGGTTCTAACGGCCGATATGTATGTTGCAGAATTTACATAACTCGATTCTGAAAAGAAACATTAGCAACAATGTAGTTGTGGCTCCGATATTGTTATTCGCGGTTCGAGATTGATAGAAGAAAGGGCGAAGAATTGCAGAGAAACAGTGAAAAGAATAGAGAAAAGGAAGAGAAAGAGCGGCACAGCGTGATAGATAGAGAGAAAGACAGGGAAAAAGGGGGTAGGAGTGAGAGAAAAGTTGTCGAAAAAAGAGGAAAGAGGGAGAGAGCTCGAAACAAACACTATTTCCGTCGGTAGAAGGAATGGAATTGCTCAGATATTTACATAATTTCATATAGCTTTGTAAATTTATTCCGAAACGTCGCCAAATCGGGGCGCTGCGTTATGTAAATTAATTCATATGCTGGATAACGATTTTTAATCGCGTGTTAAACCGACGATAGCGAGCCATCGATGCATGCGCCGTCGGAATCTGATCGATTGGAAAGCCGGTGAAATAATGGTTGACGCTTTTTTTCTTTTGATAGACTGGCCGCGATTTCACTTCCGTCTCAATGATAAATGAGGGCGAACGTTATTGGAATGCGAATCGTGAACTAATTTTGTTTTATCTCAGTTTATCGCAGCTTTTTAATCGCGGTATAATTTAATTAATTTGAATTATCGATTTAATGAGAAGAGAGCAAACGAATGGAAAGACAGATCCTTGTTATGAAGGAGTTGTGTAAGAAACGAAGCTTTTCTATTTTTTTATTTATCGCACGAAGGAGGATATTTAATGAGTAAAAAGTTATTGCATTTTTGCCTTGTGAAAGCTATGTGATAATATAATACAATGCATTTTTTTAATACTACGTTTATTTAAAATACAGAGCAAAAAAATCATAGCTGCATTGAACATTTTATTAAGCTTAGATCTTATTTATATTTATTTTATTTATATAGCATGTTCGAATATTTTTATCTCCAACTGAAATTAATAATTGCCTAACAATTTTGAATAATTTGTATACCACGAAAATTTAAATATAGAAATGTAATTATTCAAAAATTTATTTAATATAAATCCACACATATGTGTATTCAACGGCCAATGAAGGACGAGGACAAGAAAATGTTGATACATCATCAGAGTCATGATTGTTGAATAAACAAACATTGAAAGTTCCAAGTTACGAGCTTAAAACCTATAGATTGTTATCATCCCAAACAAATTCTAGTAATAAACAGGGAGGAATTCACAGAATGGGTCCGCAAATTGCAGGGCACGCGACGATTACGTCGAATTCTTTCATGCAGAAACGAAGCTGTGTATCTTGAGAACCTGAAGGTCGACATTATGTAAATTAATTCGCTTATCGATAAATACAACCTTCTCTGTTCTTCGACGATGGAAATAGAAAAGACGTTCAATCGATACACCGAAACGAAGAGAGGCAAAATGCTTTCTGCGTATTAAAATTTCAGAACACGGAACAAAGAAATTCGCCCGTTCAATTTTGATCAAACTAAGAATTAATTTTAGTATTCTTTTATCGTTCTTTGAACACGAATAAAACTTTATTTTTAAAACATGATTGTTTCAGTTATTCATGAAAAGTGGTAGTTCTTTGTTATTTATGTTACCTGATCACTTTCTGGCAAGGAAATATGAAGATTACTCGATAACAGATCTGACCTTTATTTGAAGTAGTCATTACGTTAATAAAATTCTACTCTTCACCTAACTAAATATTCTACTTTTATTCATTTTCGTGATCAGGGCATCTAGTTCCCTATAACACTATATTAGGACGATTGTATATAGGTATATTATATTGTAGAATTCCTTCCCATTTTATTTAAATTCAAAGCATAACTAACGGAATAGAAAGAGATTTAAACAAATAATAGAACAAGAGACAAATCTCGGAAATAAACATTTTACAGAACCTAAAATAAAAAAAGAAATTATGTACAAAATCTATTTCATCGTTCGGTATCGTTGTTTCTACCCTCGTTACATCGTAAAGTAGTTGAATCCGTAATAAGTTCGAACGTAACGCGAAACTGGGTGAATCATAATCTGTCCCGTTTGAAAAAGTGGATTAGCGACTAAGACCTGGAAATAAGCTTTTCGTTTATAAGCAGGATTTCTATGGTGGACAAAAGACGGGAGACCTGGTGAAAATTTAGGTTAACTTTCGATATAGAACAACCGACTCGGAGCCTTCGCATGAAGGATCCGACCAATCCTTGACCTATATCCCTTAAAACATCATATCGCCATTACGTGTGCCTTGCACACAAAAAACTGTACGCGCATGTGTGGGGGCACGTATGCACGATGGTCCTGGAGGATGTTCAAAATCACGGCAGATACCTCTACGTAAAGGACTCCCGTTTCCTTTTTGCTGATAACTTTTCCCGTTGTAAGACCGGTCACGGTACCGACGAAATTCGATAAAAGTCCAGCTGGAAAATTTCGTGGCTGGCATACGACGAAAGCACACGAAGCCCGCCACTTTGATCTTGTGACCTTTAGAAAATCCGATTTCCAGCTTCGAAGACATTTTTTATACGCCTCTTTGGCGAGACGTTCGCTATCCCCTAATACGCTTAAGGCCTGAAAAGACTTCTTTTGGTCTTTGACCAGCCTCCTTTGCGTCACGAAAAAAAAGTAATTTACTGCTTGTTTGGTCATTCGAAGAATTTTATTTATTATTGGAAGTTTCGAGTAAAAATTTCTTGATCTATGAAATTTGGAGTCCGATGAATTTCTTGTTCGTACTACTTACTTTTCGTTCCGTATCTGATTAGAGCGAGAAATTCTGTCCCGATCTTTCAATGTTTAACCAGCCTTCTTTCCGCTACGGAAGAGAGTAATTTATTGTTTGTTTGAATAAAAATTTGTTGATCTTTGAAGTTTCAAAGATTTGCTTATGGAGTCTGATGGAAGAAAAATTTGTTCGTACTACTTATTTTTCGTTCGACGTCTAAACGAAAAGTGCTGTTTTGTTTTTTCATAGATAGCAATATCGTCTGAAGTTAAGTACGCTAGTTTGTTTACGTAGCTCGTATTTGACTTTTAGTTTCTGTTTTCGAAAGTCATGTTTTGCGTTCATTTATTCGCGTAATTCATCTGGTGTTTTCAAAGTCAAACGAAGAAGATTTATATTGGTAATGTTGCGATGACATGCTACCATTTTCGTCATTTCAAATAATTATACCGAATAATGATTGTGACATATCCCAGATCAATTGAAAAAATTATATTAATACATTGGTAATTCTGTGGATATTGGTAAAAAACGATAAAATGAACGAAATAAGACATCAACATTACTAATATAATTTTATGGCTAACATATGGATCTCAGACAATGCGGTTAATATCAGTATTTTTATTCGATATTCAATATTTTTCTAAGTTTCCCGATACGATATTGAAATAGTTTAAAATACAATCGATTTGTGTTATCTATTGAAACTAAAAGTATCCTATTCAATATGATTTTCACTACACGAACTATTTAAAACTAAAACAGTATGAATAATAAAGCATTAAAAATTTGTTAAATATTGCAGATTAACAAATATTATATACAGCATCATTTAAAAATAACATTAATTTATAATCTCAAATATACTTATCTACATATTAAACTTATTTTTGGTATTACAAATACCAAATCGCCGGTTTTTAAATCATTTCCAAAATAATGCACTACACAAATTAGTCTCAAACAATTGCAAAACACTAAAGTTAATCACCATAACATAACCATACAGAATATGTTCAGTTTCAACCTTCGTTAAAATCAGGAACAGTTCGTACGAATGACAATTACGCTGATATTAAAATTCGTTTCTTACGTTGGATATTTTTACGAACTGTTTTACGAACAGCATCAAGCTTAGACTACCGAAAGTAGGTTTTAGAACGTTTAAGGATTGTGTTGAAATGCTTACGTTGCCAGTTTGATGAGGGGAATTAGAACCATCTGGAAGAACGTACGTGTTCCTTTCTTTTTCTTCTGTCGTGGGTGAACACGAATATCTTGGTAAACGATGCTTTTAAGAAGCTGCAATTAAGTTGTATTCCTCGTAGAAGCTTAAACCTCGCTCAACACCGGCAATTTACCTCACTTATGAACGTTTCTGATGTTTTCGCGAACATGCTGACTGGAATTCACGTTTAAATTCACCCTCGTGTTAGTACGCTACGTGGAACACGATAAATTAGAATCTTTTCTTCCCCTTTTCATGAACTATTTGTTCAGAATTCGTAGATTTGACCCAATTTGAGAAAATGGAGACGGAAACGATACATTTAAACTCGATTTAATTTTTCGCAAGTAGGTGAATGAAATTGAAGTGAAGAGAGGAGATGGCTGGCATTCTAGATCGTGAGTTGTAATAGAATTTCATACACTTAACATTCCTTAATTTAAGTTTAAGTTTAAGCTTAACTTAGAGTTTGGAGAAACCAGAGAGAATAGATATTACAGAATATCAGTAACATTATTAAAAGATTAAATCAGGATATGAAAAATAGACACTGATAATGAATATCTAATAGAAAAATTAAATATCTATGGAAAGAGAAATATAAAAATATAACGTGATCAAAATTTCAAATTAAAAGCCATACTCTTAAAGAAAATTAAAAAGGTACTAATGTATCTTATTTTATTATTTTTTGACAATAATTCGGTTGTTTGTCAGACGTAACCTGCCCTCAGCCCTTACTCGGATACAAATTATTTTATGCTCTGCTAAACAAACGCGTATACTTTCTCAGCGGGTATTCCATTTCAGAATTGTACGTCCCTTATTTGTGTTCCACCAGCAGGATGGTTCCTCGTAGAGTGCGCCAATTTTGACTGTGTTTCGCTACAAAATTGTTCCGACTTCCAACACAAGCTTCGAACATCATGGCTCATTTATCTTCTACGGTGTAACTTTGAATGAATTTTCGAAGGTCTGACTTCCTTGACAATGTCGGAATGCTTTCAATGATTCCGGGATGCTTACAGTAGCTTATATTTACTACAGTAATTTAGAA